ATTATTTTTCTATCCAATATAATTTTTTTCACCCTAAAGCCCAGCTTCGTTTACGTAATCATGACACAATTATCAGAATACAATATAATATGATAAATTACATCTAATCACTTAATTGTCAATTAAAATAAAATATACTAAAAAACGTAAAATTAGTTGCCTTTTGCTGGAAATCTTTATCATATTTTATTCTATTTTTTTTAGTTATCTAATTCTAAAGCATCTGATAATTTTTACAATGCTATGCAAAAATTCCAGCCTGAAATTAATCACATCCAGTCTTTTTTTTATTTCTTGATATTATCTTGGAATATTTGAATAGCTTTGTTTTTGATTATATATAAAGACTGGTTAAAAAATGAATATTTAAAAGAAAATGTTATCTTACTTTTTAACTTTTTTTCAAGATAAATGAAATTATCATCTTCACAATCGTCTCAATTAGCAAGCTAAGAATATCATGCAATGATATTTTAGTAAATAAAGATTATTTATTTGTGACAACTATTCTCATTATTGTATGTGATCGAAAGCATAGGCAGTCATGAAACATTCAAACAATTGATAATTCTACAAAAATTACAAAAGAAATGTACGCACATAGGCCTATACCAAAAATTGAAGAATATTCTTTGATAAATTGGTAAGTGGAAATGATGTAATAGATAATATAATTCATTTATTCAATTGTTGATTATTTATTTACACATTTATTATGGTAATGTAGTGAAACTGAAACTGAAAAATTCAATCTTAGCAGGTTAGAAGAAATATTGTTATTAGAACCATAAATTTATGTAATTAAATATTTATATTTTGCAAAATAAATGAAACATTTAATAAACATTTAATTAAATTCCTTATTATATTTTTAATTAGATTCTAAAGATCTTTATTTTTGAAAATATTTAAATCTTGTGGTAAGTTTTTAAAATAACATATTGATTGCATTTTGTCTGTCTTTGTTCGATGAATTATTGTCTGGAATAAGGCAGAGGACGATATATGGAGGAGTAAAGTGATAAAAGCGTGGGAAATTTTGGTTTCTGCTCATTTGATGAGTTGACACTTTATTAACCAATAAATTTACAAATTGTGGTCTCATGTGATATGAACTTAATCATTTAACCAATAAAATCATATATTAATATCATGTGACACTTTAATCTCTTAAATAAATATAATTTATTATTAAATATTTAGTAATATTTTTTGTATTATATATTTCTCCAGACATGCATCAGATCCTGATTAACTAGTTATATTCAATATTTCCATAAAGCTAAGTGAATGAGATTTTCATTTTTAAACATCTTTTTTCTGTATTCCGTTTTTTCCACTTTAGAAAGAATTCCGTATAATTTGAATTGGTTTTACGCGGATCCAGAGATGGTTTTGCTCCACAAACATTTTGGGATATCTGTCACGTTCATACATGTACATTTGTGGTAGCAAAAGTCAAAAGGATGAAGAAATACTTGGAGGTTATAATCCTTTAGCATGGGATAATAGTAATACCGTTGATAGATGGATAAAATAAAAGATAATTTCATTTTCTCATTAAAAAATGTTAAAACTCAAAATTCAATTCATATAGAGTAAAACAAATTCAATTCATAGTAGAGTAAATGATACGTTAAATGTAATTCTCAATATTGATAAAGTTTTCAACATTAGTATGGTCCATATTTTGGAAATGATTTTGCATTCGAAGTTTTTTCTGATAATTATACTTTAGATAATAACTGTTTCTATGTATTATCTTATTATAATGTATGTATTAATAATTAAAGTGAGGAGTTGCTCATGGTTTATTTATTGTAAATGATATATATTGTTTTGAGGTTTTCGTTTGTAGATTTAAAATAGTTCCATCATTTATTTTTTTGTTCAACGGATTTTTCATGAAAGGGTGTATATTACGAACATTTTTCTTCAATTTCTTGTGGTCTGCTTTTTTGTAACAATTTTTTTTATGTGTTTTTATTTTATGTTTAAATTATTAATTTTATTTTGCTTTAAGTGCGAGCTACTAAATTTTCAACGAACTTTTTGCATTCATTTCATGTATTATCTATTAAGTTCACAATTATTATTACTTTGATTAATATGTAAGTTTATAAAAAAAAATAGAAACAAAGAATGTACTATTTTATAAAAAAGTTTTTTAATTATAATAAAAAGAACTTGTCCTCATTTTTATGGGATTTTGTATTATTATTTAGACAGAGTGAGATACTCTGTTCTCATTTTTTAAGGAGTGAGAGGCTCCAACAGTATATGGTACACTGATCCTTAAATATAATTGGAATTGAAGATTTACAATTGTTATGGGATTCAGATTTAATGTATATACTTGTCATGCGTTTTAAAATATGATTTACATATTTCTCTTCTGGTTTTATTTTATGTTAAATCATTTACTATTTCTTGATTAAATTTTTTTTCGGAAAATAATATTTCATGACTAAATTTGAGTGGTTTAAAAAGTAAATCACAACAAAAACGAAATTTTCTAGGTTTCTCTTTATTTTTTTTTAATATAAATTTTTTATTAAATTAGAAAGTATTATCATTTTAAAGAAAATAATTATAATTAAGTACTCTGCTCACAACAACCATATTTGAATTACTCTTTTTTTTTTTAATTTAATTCTTGAATGAAATACATCGCTTGTACACACATACATATAAATAGTATTGTTCTGTACTAAGCGTAAAAAGAATTGTCCATGCGAATAATTTTGAATTCTAGAATATAAATTATTTTGTGTAATCGACCAGAATTTAAGAATCATGGATATTAATTTATATATATATGGCAACAGAAATATAATCATTATATAGGCATTATTCGTAATATCATATTTTTATATGCATCACCTTTTTAATTAAAATAAATTCCCAAACATATAATAGTAATTTAATAATTTTCCTTAATCTCCTCATTTAATTCGTATGAACTTCGTATATTTAAAATCTTTATTCCGTTCCATGCAAAACTTTAAAAACAAAAAAATAGAACTTTAAAATTTAATAAATCTTATAATATCTTTAGCCTGCTGAATAAAATATAAATGTAAAAATGCATATTATAATTAAAATTAGACTATAAATGATGATGAAGTTTTGGGTAGAATATCTTGGATAGTATTATCAACATAGGATTGAAACAACAAAAAATGAAGAGAAAGAAAAAAATAGTATTTGAAATTCACTGAATGGGAGATATCAATGGGAAAAATTACCTTGGATATTGTTACTGTATGTAAATGGAATTGAAACTGCAAAAGATGAAAATAAACATTTCAATCGCATTTGAAATCAGCTGAAGGGAAAAACTTGTCGGACAGGAAAATCTTGGATACTGTTATCAAAATGTGGATTACGATCATAAAATATGAAGAGAAAGCATTTCACTGGTAATTGAAATGAGCCGAAGGGAAATATTCGAGAACAACACAATCTTGGATGCTGTTATCGACATGGGATTGGAACAGCAAAAGATGAAGAGAAAGCATTTGAAAGATACTTGAAATCATTCAATGTTTTTTGTTCTCCTGGTATTACTAATCTTAACCACCCAAGTTTCTCCAATTATTATTAATAAAACGAAATAAACAAAATATGAAATAAGAAAAAGTGAATATATAGTATAATAAAAGATATAATATAACTATATAAAAAAATATTGAAGTAAACGATTAAATAATGACGGAAACCGTTAATGCATCATAATTACTTATTAAAAGTTTTATTTAACTTTCCCTATTATTAAAAAAGCTTATATTAATCTAATTTTCTAGGAAGAAGCACATTAATTGTTTGTTGCATATAACAAGCATGTTCAATCAAATTTTACGGAATTAGACAAGATTCAGATTCACAAAATATATTTTTGTTTTAGATTAAATATATGGTGAAAATCTAGAATTAGAATATTTAAAACGATCAGCCCAATTAAAGTTTTATTTTATAATTATTCTGTAATATTTGTACCATTCTTTTTTAACGACGCGTAACATTTTGTTAGCATGAAATTCATAAATATAAAAAATGTGCTAGAAGATACTCGATGAAGATTTTTTTATTTTTTTTTATTATTGAATTATATTTTTAATTTATTACTAGATTTATTATTTCACTATTATTTTACATATTTTTTTCGACATAATATTTTTTTTCCCTTTTCTTATTCAATCATTTTCATTAAAAAAATGAAATCATATATTCTTCGTAAAATTAAAAAGTTAATTGTTGCTATGAATAATCCTAATTATTAATCTAATTCCATATTTGAATAATAGATAAAGTAATTGTTCTAAAAATAAAAGAAAAATGAAAGGGTGGAATACTTTATACGTAATTAAATCAATGCAAAAATTTAATTAACTTGGTATACTTATCCTTATAAATATAAATTAAATATCACAAAATAAAGTTAAAAAAAAAATAAAATTAAAAATACAAATTATGACAAATTTCAAAATGCGTCATCGATTCTTGTCACTCTTGAAGGGTTTATATAAAAAAAATTTTTCCTGATGATTTTTTTTTAATTATAGATAGGGGTTCGTTCTTATTATTATTATCTTGATCTGGACCAATAATTTTGTTGTGAATTATGGTAAATAAAATAAAATAAATTATTAATGAATGGATAATGGATAATCAAAAGTAGCTTGAGGTGGTGTCAAAGACATAAAATATTATGAATATCAAATTCGACTGCAAATGAACATAACGCGAAAAGAATATAATTTCAAAATAAACAAAATTACAAAATAAACAAAAACAAATAAGTACAATTATTTCCAGCAAAATAACATGCATCTATTTCCAAATAAACCAAAAATAACAAACAAACAAATATTTATTTCCAGATAAACAAAATAAATAAAAACAAATTATTTATTATCATGTTTCACGTTTTGCATTTCCTAAAAATAAAATACTTACTAAATTTGGCCAGTCACTTTTTTTTGAAATAAAGATATAAAATGGTAAGAAATCCCCAATTTCCCAACAAAAAATGACTTACAATAACATTTGCAATATGCTTACTCAATTGTTTAATCTTTTCGATACTGAGACATTATTAATAATTATTATCTTAAATTTCTTCAATTACTTGTATTTTTCTACAATCATCGAAAAGATTTATAGAATACTTCTTTACTATTATTTAAAAGTAAGCATTAAATAATTTAAATATCAAATGATTTTATTTATTTTTATATTTAAATATATAAATTTTATTATTTATTTAGGGCGCGCTTTTTGTCATTAAAGAAATATACATCCTTCATTTAAATGCATATAATCAAAATTATGAGGAATTCTCTCAACCTGATGATTTAAGTTCTTCACATTCAAATAATAATACACCTCCTTCATCATTATTAAATGAAAAAAATGAAACCAACAAAAACATGGACTTAATTGATTTCAATGATCCAAATCAAGTCGAAACCAACAAAAAAATGGACTTGATTAACTTCAATGATCCAAATCAAGTTGAAACCAATGTCAATAATTTTTCACCAGTTTTCAACCTACTTGATTCAAATGATATGCAAATGGAAACTGCTCAAAAGGTAATGACACCAAAGAGCAGTTATCCAAAGGCAGAGATAGAAATGGATAAAATTTTAATTAAAAAGTTATCATGTTTCGAAGAATTTGACAAAATGAAGACTCATGATAACAAATATAAATTTTTAATGGATTTCGATGAAAAAACTCCTTGTCCTGATTGGGCCAAAGCCAAAAATCTCTCTGAAAGTTTAAAAGCGCAACAAAAAATAGATCCAGAGATGATTTTTGGCAAGCCTGAAGGTTTAAATATTGAAAGTAAGTATCTGAATATGAATTTTATATCTTTTTTATACATACTTTTTAAATAATTATATTAATTTATTTTTTATACATAGAAATATTTAATAAAAATTTAATTTTTAATTTTGAAAATGATTATGAAAATTGGGAGCCAGATGTAGAAGATGATTTTGGAGATGATGCATTAACAGAAGGTGAGACAATAATATATAATCAACAGATGGAGTACGAATATTAATTAAACAAAATGAATTTTGAAGAAGGCAGTGGAATTGATAATGCAAGAACTGGCATTTTGTTGGAAAAAAATTTATACTTAATTTTATATGTCATATTTTTTTCTTTTTTCTTTTTACTTTCTTTTCTTCTCTTTTTTCTTTTCTCTCTTTTTTTTTACATCTCTTTTATATTTTACAATAATAAATGTTATTAAAAAAATCCATTGTTCTTTATTTTATGAAAAATCAATGATGCTGCTTTGCTAATAAATGCCAATAATTGCACAAAAATGAAGTCATTCTTTATTTAGTTTACTTTTTATATGTCGTCTGTTATTAGATATCTTTCATTAGAGTACTTACTAATCAACAAATACTAAAGATTAGAGAAGAAAAAAACAATACTGGTTTTTTAAATTTAATTGCTTTTTCAATTGATAATCTGTTAAAGAGAAAAACTGCAACAATCTTTTTTTGTTTTCTTTTAAATAAAGTATAGTAATTATTGCTTTTACCCTCTTATCTTTTTCAATAGTTTCACACTCACATTTAGTCAGATTTTTCTTATTTTCCCATAAAGAATTAGTAAATGAAAGATAAATTTATTTACTTTATTGCTATAAATAAATAAGCATAATTATTTTAGTTCAAAGACAATATTAAAGCAAAAAAATTAAGTTTATTGTTCTCTATGAAGAATCGATTTAATATCAGTATTGATTTAATCTTTTCGATAGATAACTTTATTTGTCCATAAAAAAACATAATTGGAAAACCATACTTATAAAACCCATAATAAATAAAAAAATATCAATCCTAACGTGAAAAAAGGTTAGAACACTAACTGAAAAAAAACTAGTTGAGAATAATAATCAAAAAAAGATTAAAAATAAAAAATTATTAAGTAATCTGGCTTGTTTTTTTTAGTTATTCAGTAAGCAAATCTACCAACAATAGCAAGTATTCTGAAAATTGAAGAAGCGATTAAAAAATTATCAGTTTGTTTCATTTTTTGAAGAAGTATTATTTAAATTATTTATCTCCTTTTTATTGAAGATTCATGTATTCATCATTTGTGTTTTGTTGTCGATATTTGTAGGGAGTGAACAAATTGTATTCTTTGGGTTCAAAGCTTCGATTTCTTTAAAAATCGCTTCCAATTTCCTTTAATTTTTGTAATTTTTACTAAATTAAAGTCTCTATTTTCAAGCATTTTTCATGTCTTGGTTTTGGTGCAAAAATTTCTGATTAATGTAAAAATTCAAGTGAATCTTAGCCTTAAGAACAGATTCTTTTTGAGAAATTCCCCTGTTTTCTTATAATTTCATTGTCCTTTCCACTTAGAACATTGGTCACTTTGATCAAAGAATGAGCTAAATCTTATGAGCAATTATAAGTGGCTATACCTGAGTAATGAATTCACTTATAGAGTTTTTTTAATGCATATTCTCTTGTAGAAATGTAAGCAAGTTTTTTATGAAAAGCCCCTGTACAAACTGATATTTGAGTCAGAGAAGTATCCTGAAATTACCAACTGTTTCCATTTCCTTCTTAATGATTTTTTCGTGAAATTGATTGCAGACATCACAACTCATTTTTTAATATATTTTTCAAAAGGATCTAATACACAAATCATATGATTGATTGCTATTTGTTGCTTGTAAGTCAAGGGTTGAATTAATTCTTGAAAATTTGCCATAAGTTTATATGTCTTATATATGAGAAGCGGTTTGGTTCTAGTAATTAGGTAGTTGGAATTTTGGTAAAATATTTTTTTATGAACAAAGGTGATTAGAGAAGAAAAGTTAACAAAATTATTCTTATTTATAAATAAAAAAATTTTCATTACTTGATAAAATTAAACTTTTTTGCTTAGAGTTCTATGAAAAACAGTGTAAAATTACATAATAATCATGCAATATTGTTTGAAAATTACAATTGCTTATTATTTAATTATTTCTTACTAACTTCAATAAACTTTAATTCTTCTATCAATCAAATTTAGTCTTTTTGTCAATTAATCTTGTTGCTATATAAATAATTATTAACAAATCCATTCAAAAAGCTATGATTAGAAATTATTTTCCTATTACATGAAAATATCAAAATCATGCCATTTCTGATATCATTAAAATCTTTGTTGTTGTTTATCTAAATAAATTAATTTAGGTTATCTGATAGAGATAGAGAAATAATCAAACTAAATAACAGAATCTACTTTTCAAATTCTGATAAGCTGCTCATTAATGACATTAAATTTTTTATATAAAGAATTATTTTTGCAGTTGCAAAGATATCTTTACCTTCAGGTTCAGGTAGAAATCAGTATCCATGGAAAAGCAGTCCCAATTATTGGGTTCATGCTAGTTGTGATGGTTATTAATATATCTCCAATGAAAGACCACCTTATATTCAAGTTGGAAAATGTGGCACCTCTAGTTACTGTGAAAATTCGAGTTTTGTTTGTGAAAGTTATTCGTTTAGATATTATGAAAGTAACTACAAGGATTTTATTAGTGCTTTAGACTTTATTTAATCTTTGACACATTAGTGAGAACAAAAAAAGCTTTGCAAAGGTAATTATGGACATAATGTTTTAAGGAGGGCTAAAAAGTAAGTTCCTTTAAAATTTTTTTTAAGAAAAATTATGATGACTCTGTTTTACTACTCCTCTTTTTTATCTAGATATGTAATAAGCAAAGTACATTATTAATTTATCTTTTTCTTATCTTTAATTATTTTTAAAATTTTTTTTAGTGTTTATTCGATTTTTTCTTGTTGAGACTTTGATTTATCTTATTTTTTTTTACCTTTTTATAGTTTTCTTGTATTTTATATTTTATTATTATGTTTTCTAAATAAAATATGGTTTTTTGAAGTAAAGTATAAGAAATTTATTTTCATATATTTTTTTAAATAAAATTTGCTAATTTTGGATAAAAGTCCACTATAATCTCTAAACTTAATTCAAGTTAAATTTATATTTTGTAAAACCTTATTGAAACCATAAACAAAAAATTGAACTCCCATGCATAGGAAATTAGGAAAAGAAAAAATGTTTTAACATTTTGATGATAAAAAGAAAGTTTATTTGTAGAGATTATATTATTATATTAAAAGGACATGCCTTTATAATTAAAATTGAGCAAATGACTGATATTTTAAAATTTTTTCCCATTTGAATTTAACTCTAGATTGATCTCTCACTTTTGATGTCACAGATCTAAACTTTTTAAAGGAGATGCAAATAATTTTCACCTTTGAGGTTACTTAGTATATTCTTTAATATTTACTTATAAAATAAAAAGTTTATATATAGATTACATGTGATATAGTTTGATTTCATCAGCCCCATTGATTCCAATCTGCTTGGTAGCCTCAAGCTAACTGCGATTTGACTGACTTGAAGTCAAATCAAACTGATGACTTGAAACCCTCAAGTCGAACTGGTTCAGCTCAATCAGTTCAGTTCAGTCCAGCTTGGCTTAGCTTGTAATTAGCAACACTAAATACACCTATCTTAAGAGTTTCTGACCTAAATATGTTGAATAATGCTAGCTTAATTTTTTTGAAATTTAAATTAAGTGGTTTATAATTCACTCAGCACCTAAGCAGTAGTCTGGCTTTAAGGTTGCTTGTGATATATTTTTTATATTTTATTATATTTTTTTATATCGACTATATTTTGTATTATGCATTTCTCGTCCGTGCGTGCATGCATTTTGTTCTTTTTGGAGTAGTCAACCAAGGTGTAGGTGTCTTAACGTTCTAGTCTAAAAGAATGTATAAGAGTATAACATATCTTGTGTATATGGTACCTAAATACTCCTAAATTCTTTATGATATCCATTTGTACTATATAAAAAGTAAATAAATTTAATATGATTTTTAACATGAAAGTATTTTGAATTTACAGAAAAATAAGAAATAAATAAAAATAAAATGATTCTTAATAAAAATAAATTTAGATATAGGCATTCGATTTTAACACAAAGTATATCATATGATAGCCTAATCTAATAAAAAAAAGTTTGTGCAATTTAGATCACCCGTTGAGTCACAATTAGCATTTTAATTTTAGTGATTTTTTATTAATTTTTTTTGCCCCATGACTTGGACATATAATAAATTGCATAAAAAAAGCTCACATCAATAAAAGCTTAATTCCTTAACTAAAATTACCAACTATGCTATAAACAAGTGATTATCAAATATACACTTAACAACTTAAAAATTGATGTGGCGTTTTTCTATGTAACCTCCTTTCACGCAAATAAAAAATATTACTTTATTAAATTAGCAAAAAAAAAAAAAATTAATTAATCGCAATGATAAGCACAAAATCAAAACAATCAAAAATAAATACCTTAGTATGTCTATACGCAGCACGTATCATATTGGTCCTGTGCAGAATCACTCCATGCGCAGCTATTCCTTATTATTATTAGATATATTTATGGTGGAATCGTTAATCTGGAGGATGTCGAAAAAAGATTTATTTTTGATTTAATGTTAGCTACTAATGAATTTTAACTTGAGGAATTGACTAACGAATTAGAAACTCATCTAGTTGATACTTAATCTTCTTGGTTAAAAACATATTATTCTCTTGTTTGGCGTTCTATTTTTAGAAACAAATTTAGAAATTTAGAATATTTTTGTTATATTATCTTTGTCAAGTACCCAAATCTTGTTTTTGACGCTGATGATTTTACTTCACTTCCAGAATTCGCATTGGTGTATCATCTCCAGCAAGATGATTTACAAATGAAAGAAATTAAAATATGGGATTGTGTCGTCAAATGGGGGATTGGTCAGAATCCTACTCTTCCTACAAGCCTCGGAGAATGGTCCAAGGAAAATGGTACATTAAAAATCTACATTGCAACAATGCCTCCCGTATATTCGTTACTTTCACCTTTCAGCTAATGAAGTCAGAGATTCGATTAGGCCTTACAAGAAGATTCTTCATGATCAACTTTGGAAAGATATCAATTATCATTTATCATCTCCTAAACGAGAAGTAAAATCAATTATTTTACCAGCGAGATCTATTTTAATTACAGAATTACCACCTCGTGAAGATAAATCAATTTCCACTATCATTTCTGAAGTACATGCTGCAGAAATTTCAACTTGGATTGATCCTGAAAAAACTAAATATACTTCATTAAATTATCCATATGAATTTAATTAATCTAAAGGGGATCTAGAGATGGGTTTGCTCCACAAACTTTTTGGGATATTTGTCACGGTCATGTTGATACAATTGTAGTAACAAAAGTCAAAGGAACTGATGAAATACTTGGAGGTTATAATCCTTTAACGTGGGATAATAGTGTTATTAGTGGTCGATGGATGGAAACAAAAGATAGTTTCATTTTCTCATTAAAAAAGGTGACATAAAAAATTCTATTCTCAGCAAAGCAAAAAATTCCAAAAAAGCAATTCTTAATGTACGCAAAAGTAAACAAATTACGTTTGGTCCCATGTTTTGGGAATTATTTTTATTTGAGAAGTTGCAATTCTAAAAATTTTACTTTTGATAAGGGTTGTTTCTTTAAACATCATGGTGAATATTATGAAAAACCTATAAGAACATCATTATCTGATAACTTTTCTATTGTCGATTACGAAGTATTTAAAATTTTTATAGAATGAGAATTCTTTATATGCATTATTATAAGCATTTGGTATTATTATTTAGAATCATTTGCATTATTAATGTACTTTCAGATGATTAAATAAATGAATCATTTTTTTAAGTGTCATCGTTTAATACTTAAGACAAATCAAAAATTCATCATATATATATATTTTATTTATTTATAACATGACATATAGATTTTTTGAGGTCTTCGTCTGTGTGATTTGAAAAACAGTTGAATTATTTATTTTTTTTTGAAGGTTTTTTCGTGAAAAGGTGTATTTTATGCGGACAGTCTTCGATCAATTACTTATTACGAAGGTCCAAATAGTTTCAATGACCTTTTATCAATTAGACTTCCTCGAATGCAAATTATATTTATATTAATTTTAAAGCTTATAACTTTTATGTTGTAATGTGAATATTCGTCTGATCAATAGGAAGTATATTTCGTTTAAATACGGACTACATTACCAAAAGCAGTAATTTGCGATTGTGTTTTTCATACATATTTTATATCTATTTTTTTTTTCTTTTTTTTCAGATTCAATAATTTTCAAAAAGGAAAATGACATTAGAATTTTTAGTCAAGTTATCTCAAAATTTTATTGAACTTCTTAGTGATAGAGAGGATTACAATGTTATTATTGGAGTTAAAAATTTATGAAAAACCATTCACAGCACATTCGAATATATTAAAATATCGATCGCCATACTTTCGTAGGGAACTAGAAAAAACTCAAACGAATGAAAATAATATTAAAACGATTACTAAATCGAACATTTCTGCTCAAATTTTTGAAATTATTCTCAAGTAACTTATTATCGATAATAAAAATAACTAGCTGCAAATCAATTGAAACTTGAGGAATTGACTCATCTCATTAATACTAATGCTTCCTGGTTAAAAGCTCATTTTTTTTCTTGTTTATCGTAATATTTTTTGCAATACAAACTTTAAAAATTAGAAAAATTTTGTAATAATATTGTTATCAGGTATCCAAATCTTATTTTTGACGCAGATGATTTTACTTCTCTTCCGGAATCTTCACTGGTATCTCTTCTCAAGCGAGATTATTTGCAAATGGAAGAAGTTAAAATTTAGGAGTATTTCATCAAATGGGAATTGCTCAAAATCCAGTTCTTCCTACGAACCTTGATGGAATTACACAGGAAAATTTTCTTACGTTAAAAACTACATTGAAACAATACCTCCCATACATTCGTTACTCTCATCTTTCATCTGATGAAGTCAGAGATTCAATTGGGTCTTACAAAAAGATTCTAGAAGAGCAACTTCGTCGGAACGATATTGAGCAACATTTATTAGTCCCTAACCGACCAGTAAAATCATTATTTTACCAGCAAGATCTGTTTTAGTTATAGAATTACCACCTCCTGTAGAAAAGTCAAGGACCCTTTTCCTCTATACTTTCTGAAGAACAGGCAGCAGAAATCTCAACTTGGATTGACCGTGAAACAACTACATATACTTCACTAAATTATCCGTATAACTTTGAATTAATCTTACGGGGATCTAGAGATGGGCTTTTTCAACAATCATTTTGGAATATTTGCCATGGCCACAATAATACGGTTGTAATGACAAAAAGTAAAGAAATTGATGAAATATTTGGAGGTTATGATCGTTTAGCATAGAATAGCAGTAATACTGTTAGTTATAAATGGATGAGAACATACGATAGTTTCGGTTTCTCATTAAAAAATGGTAATAT